TATCAACAATGATCGGTATCATTTGCGAAGAAGGAATATCTCTCCTCGTAACCCAAACTAGCATTCGATATTTCAGAAATCAAAATTCAAAGAAACCAAAAACAAGGAATCACACTACTAAAATTGAAATTTCGACTAGAAATTCGAAAATGTATAATTTCGAATGCAGCTAATCTCTCTGTTTCATTCAATCATACCACTATGGTTATTCCCAAAATTTATCGCTTGCTTTATACCAAAATGTCATGAGGATCCACCACGTCTAAACAACACAACCGATACGATTATGCCAGTCAAGTGTACCTCTACCATACTAATGGATGAGAATGAAAAATCTTTCGGACAGATAAAGAGATGAGATATCATTGAAATATGATTAATGAATACGATGAACAATCAATCAACTGGATATAAGAACGAATACAAATCAAATCAAATCAAATCAATAGTGTCTCGTTTGATGAATAAGTGTAATAACCCGTAACGAATGAATTTCAATGAAAAGATGAAAAACAATAATGAACAACCAAACCAAGCCGCGTGCAATAACTCCAATTATAATGGATGAACGATGATCGAAATAATGCATCAAATCATTTTTAATAATATAGCCAATATACCGCATTCAAAACACAAAATTGAACAAACAAATAAACAATATCAACGAGACAAATCAAACCCGAATAATATTCACAGAGTGAGAAAGTTGTTGAAAACAGTTAAGAATTATTTTTAAACGTTCGAAATTGACAACTAAACTGATCGTGAATTTCGATAAACTGATAGAAATAATGATGACGAAAAAAAAATCAAAATTTGAACAAAAAAGCCGAATAACTAAACAAGCCACAGTAAACCAATCAATTTCAATAAGAACTCTTCAAAAACTGAAAACGAAACGAAAAAGATAAAACCAAAACAAAAAAATAATAATGATATAAGATAATAGAGTAATGTAATGTAAAGACTGACTCGCTGAAGTTGAGATCATCTGTTTGATAAAATATTAAAAGTAACAATCATAATAAGGATAACAACAACAATCATGAACCAATAGCATCATTAATATTTATAATGAATACTAATCGTGATGATAATTATAACTCTTAAGGAAACAGTATTTGGAGGACAGAAACAATCTGAATGAGTGAATATCAAAGTAAATTAATACGATATTAAAGACAAGAGTAATATCGTACACTCAAATATCAATTTCATTGTCATAAATTGTGTCGTAGAATAAAATCAAAATGAATTATAATAACTAATTGGGGCGCATTAAAAAGTTTCGACGAAACATCGAAGTAAAACCAATAAATCGTATATCAGAAGGATGAATGTTGCGAACAACGGAACAAAGAAAAGCATAGCACAACACAGCAAACATGTAATTAAGATGATATACGCATCAATATTGAAGGACGACGAGTAGTCTGAGGGATTGATTCATTACTGATTACTGCTTCATTGATGATTGATTTTATAAAACCAAACAAACTGACGGAAACCAAAGAAAAATTCAATAGGCATCCAATCTAACCACTAAACATCAAAGTGAGAAATATGAAAACATGAAAATTTTTGGGTGACTGCATTTGCAAAATGATGACAATAATGAATGATAACACGTAATAAACGAAATGAAGTCATCTAACGATAAGAAATTAAGAACAGAATCATTGTGTTATAATAGCATTTGTGCTGCTCATGAATTTCGAATGATGATTTCGTAAAGAAAGCTCAAAAGATAACATACACAATAACGACCATTCGCAAAAATCAAACTGGGAACCAACAGGACGAAACTACTAATCAACAACAACAACAAAAACATAGAATGACAATGGATAATAAGAGAAATCAAACGTGATCAATCAATCGCTAAACATCGCATGGATGTTGATTACTAGAATAGAACAGAATACAGCATATTATTATGCACAGTAATGAGCATTGATGAAGGCGATTCACTCGAAAAGTAGAAGACAACGTTTGGACAACTCAAGAGGAAAATTAATAATTCTCACTTAATTAAATTGGATNACGTAATTTTGTAACTCAATCAAATGAAGAAACAATTCATTTGAAGAGCTGATCGAATGAAACACTACAAACAAAACCATTTCAAAAAGCTGCATTTAAATACTCTTTACGTGCTCAGACTGAATTGAACAACTCACAACCAAAACTAATACACACTAAATCAATTGACAACAAAGAAATCCGTCCGTTCCCCTCAAAATCATTTCAATCAAACTTCATTCAGAGGTTGAAAGAAATCCTCAAAACTAAAAATCTTTCTCATCAGTGGTCTTGAGCATTCATTTCCTTTGAATTGAAGAGAAAGCAATGGAAATTTAACCCACCAAAAACGGAACGATTTGTTTTTTCGTTCCGTCCGAGAGGGGAACGTAACGGAAATAGATTGATGAATGAACGAGAATGATACTTATGCGAATTGTGAAGAAGAAAATCAACACGATTGAACTATTAAAATTCAAATTATTTCACACACAACACAACAAAATCAAAAAAAAAACATCGAAAATGGAAAATTTGAGAGGCAGCCCGTGTTCAGCATTGAATACATCACAAAACAATTTGGAAAGAATAAAGAAGCAAAACTCAACTTCGAGAAATATTATATTCGTGACCATTCGAATTAAAAGAGATATACACGATTTTTGTTCCAAGAAATTGTTGAAACAAAAATTGAAGAATAATAACAATAATTGAAACAATCTCTGTTGCAACAATTGATGTTTTGATGGGAGGAAATCATTCAAAATGATACCTTCGGAGAAGGAATCAAATTACGATCGATGGAGTTCTTCTGGATTACGGAAAGCGAATTTTATGATGAATGAAAAACAAACAATTCCGTAATTAAACAATTTTTTGGTGAATTTTTTCTAGNCCAAACCCATCAAAACAAGCAATTAGTTACCTATAGAGAATAGTGGTGCATTCGTTCTACAGAAATCAATCAAAATTGAACGAAAAATGTTGCGAATTAAACATCGATGAAATGACGATCAAAACTAATGGAACACTCTTCAAACCGGCAATGTATCAGAATATAAAATACGAGTTCCCATAATGAACAAGAAAATAATACTGCTTAAAAATCATTCTAAACAACACGAAACAATAAATGAACAAATAATCAATTGATAAATGAATATACAACAAAAGAAACGCGAAGTGATTGAGTTTAAAAGGCCACAATAGCACCGTAGAGCACATATAGCATTATTCACTGAACGAACGATTAGGAGAGACAAACGACGAGATATTGTCAAACGGTTTTGAAGTTAATTGATTCAAACATTAATCTATGATTTGCATATACCATCATTTGAACTTACACGAGAGAGATACTTCGTAAAGTGAACATAAGAATAACGTAATGAATTCATCCATTTCGTAACAATTACTAAGGTTGAATTCAATATCAAATAATGGTATTATCGAAAATAAGTACTTTTCTTGTGATAGACAGATAGATAGAACGGATGGACATCAATTCATTTAAACTGATAAGCACTACACATCAATTACTGAAGGAATGCTTAATTGAAATCTCAATGATCGATCAGACTCAACAGTTTGATACAGTTCGATCGCGTCTTCATTTGATCAGTTTATGTGCTGCGCTATCATTGTTCAATTTATCACGCATTATTACCATCAATATTGATGACTGCTATGCAAACACTAGGCGTTCTATTGAAACACTAAATTCAAAAATATTAAGTTGAATAAAAATTACTGAACCTTTCTCTCCATGAACACGTAAACTGAGCAAACGAAGCGAACTGCTGTAGTCAAATAACGAAAAATGCGCTCTCTAACATCACTGACAGAATCCTATCAATTTGAATAAGAGCACAGTTGTTGCGTTACATTAGATTTGATAGTAACAGAGTTGATTCGAATAAATCAACTGTGATGAGCGATAACAATGATGACGATAACCAAAATAACAGTAATAACAAGAATCAGAACCATATCGGTTATTACCATTACTATCATACACGCATTGCTATCATTCAACGACAAAACATTACCAAA